TATTATAACGATTTTTTAAGCTTTGAATCGCCATATTGAATTCACCATTTTGAACGTTTACATTTCGACTTTAAATTCGTAATTAGCGACCCAAAAAAATCCTGTGATATAAAGTGTAAAAAAATCAGTCCAGTGAAGCGTTCGGTGTTTAGCTACTAAAGAACATGAAATTTGTTAATATACAATTTATTCCTGTAATTGTAAATATTGTACTATTTTGGAAATACATATAATATGCATTTCTGTAGATTTTTTCATGACGAATCTGAATCTATTAGCCAAATCAACGGGTATCTTCGTTTCAAAGTTATTGTAATCTGAAGATGTAAAAAAACGGCCATTTTTGCACTTTTAGGTTAGAATATCTCAAAATCCTGACGTGATAAACAATTTCTGTAGTCATATTAGGGCGCAGCGCAAAAAATTACGTCAGAAACCATTTCTAATAATACATATCAGTGCCTGCGATAAAAAATTTTTTTATGAATATATATAAATATGTATAAACATACATAAACATATATCAATATTCATGAACATATATAATTATGTATGAGATATGTTCATACATGTTTATACATCCTTCTTTAGTTTGTAAAATTACTTTTTAGTGTACCAAAAATAATAATAATAAGAAGAAGAAAACATAAAAAATAATTAAAAGAAAAATTTTCGCATTGTTTTAAAAAAAAAATCAAGTTTGGAAAAATGTAAAAGAATTGCTCATATATAATTGCATGTAAAATTATACATAGTTATGTATGAGCAAATTTTTTTACATTCTTCCAAACTTGATTTTTTCTAAAACAAACAATGCGGAAATAGTCCCATTAACTATTTTTGATGTTTTCTCAATATTATTATTATTATGTTTAGTACACTAAAAAGTAATTTTACAAAAGAAAGAAAGTACATATTTCATATATAATTATTTATGATTATGAATATTTATGTGTGTTTATGTATGTTTATACATATTTATACATATTAATGTATAAAAAATTTTTTACCGGGTGGACTTTCCAAAGTCTCATTTTCGCAGGCCTGTGTTATTAATCTATAGATATATATATCACAGCTCCTTTCGTGATTAATAAGTAAATTAATAAAATATTGTTGCTCATTATACTGCTTTGCCATTATATTAACGTCAGTTTAGACTGTCTATTCGTCTTTAACACGAAAATGAATACAGCTCATAATGCATTTTTTAATTTATACATTCTCTACTTATACTCTTAACACATAGATACACATCAAAAGTATAGGTAGAAATATAAGTGTACGATAGATAGTCTAAAATGACGTTAATATGATAGTAGAGCAGTATAATGAACGAAAATATTTTATTCGTTCACATTTCGCCATGAAAAGAGTTCAGTGTATTATAGTGTGTGATATCTAGACAAATAATTAATTAAGGCAATTATCTCAACCCACCAAATAATGAAGACTTCAAATTAAGAAAATTATAAGCAGTAATATATTTATAACAATACGCTGAAGATAACTTAAACAAAAGTCGAAACGGTCGTATTAATAAAGAAATAATATTATAAACTTATTATTTGCTATTATTATACATAAATAGATATATGCTAAAATAACTGCGTTTGCTCTCAATTGCCCATATCTTACATCAAAAATTAATTCTAATTAATTAAGCATTTATGAATTGAATTTCTGTTCATATAATCATTTTTGACATTTCTAACGATTATACGATACAAAAAAATTATTTACTGGAAATCGAATCGGGGCCAAAAAACGGGCCGAAAAATTTATTGACCCTCTTCTTTCAACACAAATTTTTTAACTGTGTAGGCATGGGAAACACTTGATACATCAAAAATAACATCTTATCTTTTTGTATATATGTATCAATGTTTCAATATTTTTATATTCTGCTACATCGGAAAAATTATCACAGAACAGGTAATATGTCGAAATTTAAAATATACTGAAACAAAAAATCACGTTTCAATATTTTCTTAACAATGGAATCAATATTTAAAAAAAAGAGTAAAATATGAAAAATTTTTATTAAATTATAATTTTTCATTATATAATTTTTTAAATCAAATTGTCTCATTTTTAACTAAAATTTAAATATTTTCGTTTTATTTAACATTATCTATTTAATTTAATCCAAATTATCGAATTCTTATACTCATATAAAACTTTATGTCAAATTAGCGCATACCTATCGAGAAATGGTATATATGATTGATTGGTATAACCTATATCACATAAATGCATGTGATCACATTCTGATTATAATTACCCGATCGAATAACGTAATTAAGATCACAGCAGGAAAGTTATTCCATTTAGCCACCGCTACTTTTGGTGATGTAAGTAACGTAAATATATTGTTTCTTCCTTTGGTTAATAAATTGTATCTTTCTTGTATTTTATTAATTTCAAATTATGATCATTTTATAATAATTGGATTTTAATTAAAATATCCATTACCTTTAAAACATCTATAATATATTCAATTATAGGTGTGTTTGATTTAAGATATAAAATTTTAAAAATCTATAAATGTCTAATTAAAACAATTTGATATATATATTTTTTTGCCTTCCATAGAAACAAGTATAATGATGTTTCTCATGTAATTAAAACTTCGATGGTACATTTAAATTTTTTGCAACAATGACTATGTAAAAGATGATTATGTGAAATATATGTCAGGAAATATACGAACTATAAATATATATTTTATAGTTCGTATAATAACTATAAATATATATTTTAATTTGATCAAATTAATATTTCCTGAAAATGAAGATTTAATCACGTATTGCACATATTGCACAGAAATTAGAAATCACCGACCTCAGAAACATTTGGTATACAGGTCTTCAGGCATTTATCATTAATTTCCTTCGCGAGCGTAAATTGCTTATTAAAATTCAAATTTTGGGGATTTATTATTTGCAATTAAATTCGGAATAGAATTCTATTTATAGGTGTTAGATTTGGGTGTTAGACGACATGCAAAATTATAATACAGGAAATATTTGAAGAAATCAAATGCGCATATATATAGAAAATATGTATCAGTAATACATATTTTCTGTATGTATCTATTTTATGTTTTCAAATGTTTTCTATGTTACGCGACAAAATTATAAATAGAATTCTGTTCCGAATTTGATCGTGAATTATAGATCGTGTAAAGTAAGATTTATGACACACTGTTAAAACAAAATAATTACATAATCATGTTGTTCATGTTCTTAAAAAGGTTCTCGCGTTTGATGAAATATAAGATATATCTATAATATAGATACATGTAATACAAAAGTTAATAATATCAATAATATCTAGAAAAAATTTCATTTACTTTTACCGTACCATTTTGAAGATATTTAATTTTAAATTTATAGAATTTTACATTACAAGTTGAAAGTATAACTTATTCTGTAGTTATTCTCTTTTAAATTGAGACACTTCCGTATAAGACAGCAATTTAAAAATCGTTACAATTATAAAGAAAACACTTAAGTTTGTTAACGTAAAGTTTCATTTAAACTGACCGTACAGTTTACAAGAAATTTATAATCTTCAATGAAAAAAGCTAGAATATGTATATGTCAAATGAATGATGCGTATATATTAAATGAACATCTTACAACTTTTATTTTGTCATTTTGAAAATATATCGCAACATATAAAATTAATAATAATTATGTATAATAGCATAAGATATTGTTAGAGTACTCTTTTTATTCCATTATTTTAATTATTTTATATATTATTATGAATGAACTGTCTATTGTGACTAAGAAGTAGCGCGAGAGCCTCCTTAAAAGAAAACATAATGACATCAGATAATGACATCAGATGTATAATTACGCAAACATTTATGAGATTATGTGTAAAACATAAAAAATTTCAAAGAGATATATGTATCTTATTTGACGCGAGACACATATCGTATATCTCTTGATACTATATAGAACACTATACGCGCAACAAAGATACATTAATAAATAAGATCAATAATTATCGTCAAAACCAACATTTGAATCATTATTGTCATTAATATACTTTCAAAGATATATAGTACTACTAATAATTTATAATTTTTTTCATGAATGCCATAATAACTCAAATCAGATTTCTAAACCATCCTATATGAAGTACTTACAGAATCTGTAGTACTGAACTTCCACAATTCAGCGATCAATAAAAGTTCAAAGTTTTTTAACGTACAATTTAGAATATTGGTAATATCAACCGTATATAAATGTCAACTGACTAACATTTTTGTTTGAATCGAAAGATCCGTAGCTGTAGTCGAAGATTAATAATTAATTATTTTATGATTAGATTCACATTCACTACTTAATATACATTTAAATAAAAAATTAATGAATAAAATTAATTGTAATGTTAGAGTGGCACAGAGAGTTATTGGCCAACAAATTATATAAAAACTTAAGAAATATGTATGTCCGATTTCCATATCTATATAATATTTTCTACATTTCATGACAGTGTAACTTTCATCACTATAAATAAAAAATTACTAATTCATTCTGTTAATCGATATTCAAAAAACGTGATTAAAATATATTATCGAATCAAAAAAGCCTATTAAATTGAAAAACTTTCAGTGTCAATTACACGAACGTTTCCTTAAAACGTTCATAACACGCGATATTCATTCGGACTTCGGGTAATAGAAACTTTCAACGAGCAAATACATCGATTGAATATACGTCCATATTTAAGTAAGGGTACTTCTACATAAATTGATATTTTCCGCGCAACCAATCAGAGATGTTCCACGTTTTCTATTACACGGAACTGAATATTCTTATTGGTTACGCGATACGCGTTGTGAAGAAAATATCCATATGGAAGCTTTATAATGTTAGACTGATCATCAAACTCTTCTGAAGATTGGCGCAGGCGCTTCACATATTCCAGTACGATGAAGTGTCCATCCATGGTAGTACGTTGTGTGCTTTCGTGCAGTGATAATGTCAAATTCCAAATATGCTCCCGAAAAGGAGGGATCAAAAAAACATATTGATTACAGTTTACAATTTAATCGATGGTTTCTTAAGCCAATCGGTGCGTGGCCAAAAAAAAATACATCGAGTTCAGTGTGTAAAATCATGATATTATTACAAATTTTCATTTGTTCAAGCATAATAGCAGTCCCAACGATACCGTGTTTATTATATGTGCTATTTGAGGCAGAGAATATCCAGCAAAAACTAAATACCATGATGCCACTAATCAACAGATTTATGAGCTCGATGCATTACTGGGTGTTGCTCAAACGTAGAGATGACATTCACAAATTGATACGACATATGGAGACGGACTGGAATACCGTGCAAAGGATCAATGAACGTGAAGTGATGTTACAACATGCCAAGTTCGGCCGTTTCATTACCATAATCTGTGGGATAATGCTGCAGGGCGGTTGCCTATTGTTCGCCCTAAGACAATCGATGAAAACTGCTACCATTACCATTGGCAACGAGACTTTTACAACGCATCTGACAACGTGTCCGATTTATAGCAAAATCATCGATACGAGATTTACCCCTCTGAATGAAATCGCGTTGGTACTGCAAAACCTGGTAATATTAGTAATAAGTTTCTGTACTGCCGGTGGTTGCAGTCTGGCTGCTGTCTTCGCAATACATGCTTGTGGTCAGTTGAATGTTCTGTACGCGTGGTTACATGAACTAGTTGAAAACAATGCGAAGGGAAATGATAAGACTGAACAAAAACTGGCTGCTATAGTAGAACATCATCTTAGAATATTGAGGTATTTCACAAGCAGGCACTCGGTAAAAAAAAAATACACATCTTCTAGTAGTCTACAAAAAACTTCTAAATTACAACCCAACATTCAAATTAATAATCAACGATTTAAAAATAGATGTTTTCGTTAAAACTAAGATAAATTTACTTTCTTCTTGTGAATTACTAGAAGGAAGTAAATTTATCCTACTTTTAACGTAAACATCTATTTTTCAGAAGTTCGTAGTGAATTGTGGTCATGAAAAGTATAAGTTCAATGAACCGATGACTATCTATAAAGAAATTCTACTGTGTTATATACATTTATACATTTCAGTTTTATATCACAAGTGGAAAGCATTATGCACAAAGCCGCTCTTGTGGAATTAACGGGATGCACGATAATTATGTCCTTGCTTGGATATTATACTATTATGGTACGCTAGTAACTAAATGTAGAAAGTCTTATTAGACATATCAAAATATTCGTTCACAAGAAAGCAAATATCGCAATTCTACTACAAAACTGTATTAAATCTGTATTAAAAACGGTAACTTATACAATAAAGACAAGCTCATCTCATTTTTAAATTTACATAGTAAAAAACATTTTGGATTTGGGATAAAAAATCGGTCGTTGACAAGGTACTGTGCAGAATTTTTAACATACTCATGTGTTAATTTAACATGTCATTATGTTGAACGTTTTGTATTAAATTGATGTACAACAATTATTAGTATTAAAGAAACAAGATTCATGAATAGGTTAACGTATAATAAATAACAAATTTTTAAAACGTAAATTCTAAGGTAAATGAATAAAATGTACGTATTAATTCAACATATTATAAATCGACACCTGAGCCACAGAAGACATAGACCTTCACACCACATGCGAAGAAGACCGCTTTTCATTCATTTCTTGACAAAGACCTTTCTTCATATTTTTTTTGATATAGCATCTTCTACGGCTCAGGCGTCGAAATATTAGTATCATTTTACAAATATACTTTCACAATTTTTGGTTGAACATTGTATTAAAGTGTTTCTTTTTTTGTGAATTCTTTACATAACAATTGTATTACTTTATAACATACATGTGTTATGTTAATACAAAAATTAGAATAGATCGTTCGGCATTTGAAATACGTTGTAAATTTAATACAAATTTTCCAATTGCATAGGCTTGGGAAACACTTGATACGGCAAAAGTAACATCTTCCCTTATTGTATATTTATCAATGGGTTTCAATATATTTATATTCTGCTACATCGGAGAGATTATCACAGAACAGGTTAAGAATTAAAAGATATTGAATCAAGTACCTCGATTCTGTGACTGTTAATAACAGTTCAATATTGTAACGTTATCGTTGTTTTTACAATACCTGATATTTGTGTAACAATAACATATCGATACTTCTCTCTCTCTCTCTCTCTGTTGTTAAGAGTTATAAAATCGAGATACTGAAAATAATTTTGATAATTCAGTCAATGACCGCGTTCAATATGTAATGTTTCATTTGCAAGAATTAAACGTTTTTTTCGTTGAGATGAAACTATTTCTCTAGATCTAAAGTATAATTCTATTAGTGCGTATCGCAAAGAAAGCTGCAAAATAAATGAACGTGGTCATTGGTTCCTGCCTTCAATTTTTCAATAAATCTATGTTATTAAAAATGTATTATAATAAACAAGCATGTTATAATAAACAATCACTAACCGCTTAATGAACTGTTTTGCCTGCTAAATGCAGGTAATATTTTCAGGAGAAAGTGGAATATAATACTTTTACATTAATAGAAAAAATCCTAACATATAATTACCTAACTTTTAACAAAACTGAATATTTATTTTTAACATCTTATTAATCTGACTAATTAAGTACTTTTCACAAAATTTAACTCTTATGTCAATTTGTTAGTGCAAACTTGTTGGGGAAATGGCATATATGACTGACTGGTATAATCTACATCATAAAACCGCACGTAGTCTTATTCTGATCATCGCTCGATCGAATGACGTAATTAAGATCACAGCAGGAAAATTATTCCGTTTGTCTATCGCAACATTTGGTAATGTAAGTAACTTTCCTTTGTTTCATTAAACATTTGGTAATGTAAGTAACTTTCCTTTGTTTCATTAAATAATGAATTAATTTTCTATATATACTTTGTTAATTGCGAATTATGATAATCTTATAAAAATTCGACTAATGAACTATCCGTTATGTTCATACATTTAATTATACGAGTGTGTATGATTTAAAATTTAAAATTTTAATTTATCGTGTAGAATGGTATATATTGTTTTGCATTGTGTAAAAACAAACATGTTGTTTCAGGTAATTAAAACTTCTGTGGTATATTTAAATTTCTTGCGAACAATGACTACATAAAATGATCAGTGAAATATACGTTAAGAAATACGCATAATATATATTTTGTAGAATAAATAAATACATCTAGAAAATAAGTTTCAGTAAATAAAATCAAAAATTACATAAAACTTGAGATTAAATTATTTTCAAATGTATATATATATGTACATATAATATTTTATAATTTTTCTTATGCTTGTTATTGTAATTTCTATACTGAAAAGTACTAATTTTAATATTTATCAAAATTTTATATTTACCTTTTTATCAGAATAAGAAACCTGCATATAATCAAATAAAAAAGAATATAACAGATAGATAAAGCACATTCATTTCTACGAGTTTCGTCTCCTCTTGATTTTCTCAACACGCGATATTCTCTTTCTAACAGTAGTACTATAAATTCGCGACAAACGATTATTGATTGAACGTGTTACCCTTCCGAAGCAATTGTAATATCACGTTATTCATCCAACGTTTTCGAAGGTTTGGTTAGGTTCTACTACATATTCAAATCTGGTACAATGAACCCATTCGTGACAGTGCATTGCATGCTTTCATGAAGTGGTCATACTGAACATATGCTGGTAGTGCTTCTCATTTCATGGCAAATCGACACTGTCTTTATTATTCATGAAGTACAAAGGAAAATAGAATGACGATTGTGTCAACCATTGGTCTTAAAATAAACCACTACACAGGTGTCGAACATTAGTGTCGCTTGTGTTACTAAATGGAAAGCACTCAATGTGTGGTAGGAAGCGTTGGATTAAATAAATATGACGATTGCAATTAGCAATCGTATATGTTGAATGTTTTTCTTATATTATTACAACTAAGAGTATTATCTACGCGTAGAACAGAAACGTATAGATAAAATTTTAAAAGTTAAATCGAAAACTATAAGCAAGAGCTTTACAATAAAATGCGAAAAAAATTTGTGCAGAGAAGTTTTATTCTAAAACTCGTATTTTTACAGCAAACCGTCCTGAAGTACAAAATCCGTAGTATCAAACCTCTATAATATGGATGAATAAAAGTTCGAAGCTTTTCTATGTACAATTTAGGATCCTACAGCCGTATACGTGAACGTGTAAGTACGACCATAATAAGTGCCATCGCGTTTAGACGTGATTAAAATTTTAGCTAGGGTCAAAAAGATCTATAGTCAGAAAGGATAATAATTTTATATCATTTTACGTTCACATTCACGATTTAATACACACTACATATATAAATCAAAATTGATAAATAAAATTAGTTATAATATTAGAACGACACAGAGTAATTAGCCATCAATGTAGGCAAAATTTCGATTCCCATATATATACATTTATAATATTTTCTATATTTCATGATATTGTAATGTCTATCGCTATAATTTATAAATAATAAAACTCTACACATTTATTCTGTTAATCAAAATGCAAAAAACGCTGATATGATTTAAGAAATATTATGGAATCAAAAAGGTCTGTTAAGTTGAAGCACTTTCAATGCCACTTACACGAATCTTTCCTCACAATGTTCACGACACGCCATATTCACTCAGACTTCGGGCAATAGGAACTCTCAACCATAGTTTCTTCCACCATGCTCTCAACGAGTAAATATATCGATTGAATGTATGCCCCTCTCAGAAAAAGGGTGCTTCTATATGGATTGATATTGTCCGTGTAATGCGTATTGCTTAACCAATCAGAGATGTTTCGTATTTCTGTTACTGATTGTCCTTATTGGTTACGTGGCAGTTGCGAAGGAAATATCAGTCCATGCATGAAAGCCCTTTCTAATGCTAGATTGATCATCTAACTTTTCTGAAGATTGACGCAGGCGCTTCTTCATATTCCGATGAGTTATCGTCCATGGCAGTACATTGTGTGCCTTCGTGCAGCGATCATGTCAAATTCCAAATGTGCACTAGGAAGCGACAGGCTAAAGAAACATATCGATTACAATTTACAGTTTAATCATTGGCTTCTCAAGCCGATCGGTGCGTGGCCACAAAAGAATGCATCGAGTTCATTATGCAAACTCATGATATTACTACAAATTTTCATTTGTTCAAGCCTAATAGCAGTCACAACGATACCGTGTTTATTGTATGTATTATTTGAGAAACAGAATATCAAGCAAAAATTGAATGCAGTGGGACCAGTGATCAACAGATTTGTGAGCTCAGTACAATACTGGGTGTTACTCAAGCGTAGTGGTGACATTAAAAAATTAATGCGACATATGGAGACAGACTGGAATATCGTGCAAAGTATCGATGAACGTGAAGTGATGTTACAACATGCCAAGTTCGGTCGTTTCATTACCGTAATCTGTGGGATAATGCTGCAGGGCGGTTACTTATTGTTCGCCCTAAGACAATCGATGAAAACTGCTACCATCACTATTGGCAACGAGACTTTTACAACGCATCTGACAACGTGTCCGATTTATAGCAAAATCATCGATACGAGATTTACCCCTCTGAATGAAATCGCATTGGTACTGCAAAACCTGGTAATATTAGTAATAGGTTTCTGTACTGCCGGTGGTTGCAGTTTGGCTGCTGTCTTCGCGATACATGCTTGTGGTCAGTTGAACGTTCTGTACGCGTGGTTACATGAACTAGTTGAAAACAATGCGAAGGGAAATGATAAAGCTGAACAAAAACTGGCTGCTATAGTAGAACATCATCTTAGAATATTGAGGTATTTCACAAGCAGGCACTCGGTAAAAAAAAGTACACATCTTCTAGTACTCTACAAAAAACTTCTAAATTACAATCCAACATTCAAATTAATAATCAACGATTTAATAATAGATGTTTACGTTAAAAGTAGGATAAATTAATTTTCTTCTTGTGAATTACTAGAAGGAAGTTCATAGTGAATTGTGGTCATGAAAAGTATAAGTTCAATGATCCAATGACTATCTATAAAGAAATTCTACTGTGTTATATATATTTATACGTTTCAGTTTTATATCACAAGTGGAAAGCATTATGCATAAAGCTGCTCTTGTGCAATTAACGGGATGCACGATAACCATGTCCTTGCTTGGATATTATACTATTATGGTACGCTAGTAAGTAAATATAGAAAGTCTCATTAGACGTATCAAAATATTTATTCACAAGAAAGCAAATATCGCAATTCTATTACAAAACATGTATTAAAAACGTTAATTTATACAATAAAGACAAGCTCATCTCATTTTTAAATTTATATAGTAAAAAACATTTTGGATTTGGAATAAAAAATCGGTCGTTGACCAGGTAGAGGAAGGTCACCGATACTGACATAGGTCTCCTAAAGCGACATCCCCTTATTTCTTAAAAACTAACCTTTGCACCTTATTAATACTAATAAAAACGTGATCTGTTTAGCTAATTAAAGAAGTACAAACTCATAATTCATATATTTGTGGCTTATTTCTATACCAAATCAGCTAAAAACAAATTCTATGAATCTGAGAAGAAAATTCTTATGGTGTTCTTTTGCATATTGCGTAATTAAAATAATGGTGACTGTATTATTGATAATATTATGTCATTTTAAATGTTTATAGTTTCATAAATTAATTTTCTGTACAGAATAGGATATATTTTTATTTATAGAAATGGAATGTTGGCATTATTGCATACTATGTCAGTTTTGGAGCCCATTTTGTCAGACGCTCATTTTAACTTACGAAAAACTTAATTGTTGCAAAATTGCAAACAGTATTATAAAAACTACTTATACTATTGGATAGAAGACACTTTTTAGTTTGTATTTATGTTTTTGAAGTTGTATTTTTACCTTTCGTTTAAGAAATATTGTCTAAAAGCAAAGTGATATGCCGGTATCGGTAACCTTCCCCTACTGTGTAGAATTTTTAACATATTCATGTGTTAATTTAACATAATGTCATTATGTTGTTTGAACGTTTTGTATTAAATTGATGTGAACAATTATTAGTATTAAAGAAATAAGATTCATGAATAAGTTAACGTATAATAAATAACGAATTTTTAAAACGTAAATTCTAAGGTAAATGAATAAAATGTATATATGTATTAATTTAACATATTACATATCGACGCCTGAGCCGTAGAAGACATAGACCGGTCTTCACGCCTCATGCAAAATAGATCGATTTTCATTCATTTCTTGATATCGACCTTTCTTCATATTTTTCTTGATGTAGCATCTTCTTTCAACGGCTCAGGCGTTGAAATATTAGTAATATTTAAGAAGTATACTTTCACAATTTTTGGTTGAACATTGTATTAAAGTGTTTCTTTTTTTGTGAATTCTTTACATAACAATTGTATTACTTTATAACATACATGTGTTATATTAATACAAAAATTAGAATAGATCGTTCGGCATTTGAAATACGTTGTAAATTTAATACAAATTTTCCAATTGCATAGGCCTGGGAAACACTTGACACGGCAAAAGTAACAACCTCCCTTATTGTATATTTATCGCTGGGTTTCAATATATTTATATTCTGCTACATCGGAGAGATTATCACAGAACAAGTTAAGAATTAAAAGATATTGAAACCAGTACATCGATTCTGTGATTCTTAATAACACTTCGGTATTGTAACATTATCGTTGTTTTTACAATACCTGATATCTGTGTAACATATCGATATAAATCTGTTGTTAAGAGTTATAAAATCGAGATACTGAAAATAATTTTAATAATTCAGTCAATGACCGCGTTCAATACGTAATGTTTCATTTGCAAGTATTAGAAGTTTTCTTTGTTGAGATGAAACTATTTCTCTAGATCTAAAGTATAATTCTATTAGTGCGTATCGCAAAGAAAGCTGCAAAATAAATGAACGTGGTCATTGGTTCCTGCCTTCAATTTTTCAATAAATCTAAGTTATTAGAATATATTATAATAAAGAAGCATGTTATAATAAACAATCATTGAACGCTTAATGAACTGTTTTGCTTGCTAAACGCAGGTAATATTTTCAGAAGAAAGTGGAGTATAATACTTTTATATTAATAGAAAAAATCCTAACATATAATTACCAAACTTTTGACAAAACTGAATATTTATTTTGAACATCTTATTAATCTGACCAATTAAGTACTTTTCACAGAAAATTTAACTCTTATGTCAATTTGTTAGTGCAAACTTGTCGGGGAAATGGCATATATGACTGACTGGTATAATCTACATCATAAAACCGCACGTAGTCTTATTCTGATCATCGCTCGATCGAATGACGTAATTAAGATCACAGCAGGAAAATTATTCCGTTTGTCTATCGCAACATTTGGTAATGTAAGTAATGCAGATATCTTTGTTATTTCGTTAAATAATGAATTTTCTATGTACTTTGTTAATTGCGAATTATGGTAATCTTATAAAAATTCGACTATTGAATTATCCATTATGTTCATACATTTATAATTATACGAGTGTGTATGATTTAAAACTTCAAATTTTAATTTATCGTATAGAATTGTATATATTTCTTTGCATTGTGTAAAAACAAACATGTTGTTTCAGGTAATTAAAACTTCTGTGGTATATTTAAATTTCTTGCGAACAATGACTACATAAAATGATTAGTGAAATATACGTTAAGAAATATGCATAATATATATTTTGTAGAATAAATAAATATATCTAGAAAATAAGTTTCAGTAAATAAAATCAAAAATTACATAAAACTTGAGATTATCAGTCATTAAATTATTTTCAAATATATATATGTACATATAATATTTTATAATTTTTCTTATGCTTGTTATTGTAATTTCTATACTGAAAAGTACTAATTTTAATATTTATCGAAATTTTATTTTTACCTTTTTAACAAAATGAGAAACATGACTCCACATAATCGAATAAAAAAGAACATAACAGATAGATAAAAAATTTCTTGCGAACAATGACTACATAAAATGATTAGTGAAATATACGTTAAGAAATATGCATAATATATATTTTGTAGAATAAATAAATATATCTAGAAAATAAGTTTCAGTAAATAAAATCAAAAATTACATAAAACTTGAGATTAAATTATTTTCAAATGTATATATATATGTACATATAATATTTTATAATTTTTCTTATGCTTGTTATTGTAATTTCTATACTGAAAAGTACTAATTTTAATATTTATCAAAATTTTATTTTTACCTTTTTAACAAAATGAGAAACATGACTCCACATAATCGAATAAAAAAGAACATAACAGATAGATAAAGTGCATTCGTTTCTACGAGTTTCGTCTCCTCTTGATTTTCTCAACACGCGATATTCTCTTTCTAACAGTAGTACTATAAATTCGCGACAAACGATTATTGATTGAACGTGTTACCCTTCCGAAGCAATTGTAATATCACGTTATTCATCCAACGTTTTCGAAGGTTTGGTTAGGTTCTACTACATATTCAAATCTGGTACAATGAACCCATTCGTGACAGTGCATTGCATGCTTTCATGAAGTGGTCATACTGAACATATGCTGGTAGTGCTTCTCATTTCATGGCAAATCGACACTGTCTTTATTATTCATGAAGTACAAAGGAAAATAGAATGACGATTGTGTCAACCATTGGTCTTAAAATAAACCACTACACAGGTGTCGAACATTAGTGTCGCTTGTGTTACTAAATGGAAAGCACTCAATGTGTGATAGGAAGCGTTGGAATAAATAAATATGACGATTGCAATTTGCAATCGGATATGTTGAATGTTTTTCTTATATTATTACAACTAAGAGTATTATCTACGCGTAAGACAAAAACGTAATAATAAAATTTTAAAAATTAAGTCGAAAACTGTAAGCAAGAGCTTTACAGTAAAATGCGAAAAAAATTTTGCAGAGAAGTTTTATTCTAAAACTCGTATTTTTACAACAAACCGTCCTGAAGTACAAAATCCGTAGTATCAAACCTCTGTAATATGGATGAATAAAAATTCGAAGCTTTTCTATGTACAATTTAGAATCCTACAGCCGTATAAAACGTGAACCGTAAGTACGACCATACATAAGTGCCATCGCGTTTAGACGTGATTAAAATTTTAGCTAGAGGGTCAAAAAGATCCGTAGTCAGAAAGAATAATAATGTTAAATCATTTTACGTTCACATTTACGATTTAATATACATACTACATATATAAATCAAAACTGATAAATAAAATTAGTTATAATGTTAGAACGATACAGAGTAATTAGCCATCAAAGTAGGCAAAATTCTGATTCCCATATATAAAATAATATTGTAACATCTATCACTATAATTTATAAATAATAAAACTCTACACGTTTATTCTGTTAATCAAAATGCAAAAAACGCTGATATGATTAAGAAAATATTATGGAATCAAAGAGGTCTGTTAAGTTGAAGCACTTTCAATGCCACTTACACGAATATTTCCTCACAATGTTCATGGCACATAATTTTCACTCAGACTTCGAGCAATAGAAACTCTCAACGAGCAAATATATCGATTCAGTATGTGTCCCTCTCACAGTATGGGTGCTTTGTACATGGCTTAATATTTTCCGCGTAACGAGTATCGACTAACCAATCAGAAATATTCCACGTTTTCTGTCATACAGAATTGAATGTTCTCATTGGTTACGCGATACACATTAGGAAGAAAATGTCAATCCATGTAGAAACCCTTTATAATGTCAGACCGATCACTAAACTCTTCTGAAGATTGGCGCAGGCGCTTCTTTATATTGCGGTACGATGAGTTATCCATTCGTGGCAGTACACTGTGTGCTTTCGTGCAGTGATCATGTCAAATTTGAAACGTGCATCAAAAGACAACAGACCGAAAAAATATAACGATTATAGTTTACAATATAGTCGATGGTTTCTCAAGTCGATTGGTGCGTGGCCACAAATAAATACACCGAGTCCAGGGCGCAAAATAATGATATTACTCCAAATTTTCATTTGTTCAAGCATAATAGCAAGAAATTTTATTTTTACCTTTTTAACAAAATGAGAAACATGACTCCACATAATCGAATAAAAAAGAACATAACAGATAGATAAAGTGCATTCGTTTCTACGAGTTTCGTCTCCTCTTGATTTTAACAACGATACCGTGTATCTTCTATGTGTTATTTGAAGCAGAGAATATCCAGAAAAAACTAAGTACCATAGGACCATTCATCAATAGATTTATGAGCACGATACATTACTGGGTGTTGCTGAAGCGTAGCAACGACATTCAAAAATTAATACGACACATGGAGAAAGACTGGAGTCTCGTGCAAAAGATCAATGATCACAAAGTGATGCTGCAACATGCCAAGTTCGGTCGTTTCGTTACTATAATTTGTGGGATAATGATGCAGGGCGGTTGTCTACTGTTCAGCTTATTGCAATCAATGAAAACTGTTACCATGATCATCGGCAACGAAACTTTTACAACGCATCCACTGACGTGTCCGATTTACAGCAAAATAGTAGGAAGCGTTGGATTAAATAAATATGACGATTGCAATTAGCAATCGTATATGTTGAATGTTTTTCTTATATTATTACATTCGCATTAGTTCTGCAAAACCTGGTAATATTAATAATAAGTTCCTGTACAGTCGGGGGTTGCAGTCTGGCTGCTGTTTTCGCGATACATGCTTGTGGTCAGTTGAACGTGCTGTACGCGTGGCTACATGAACTAGTTGAAAACCAAGAGAAGGAAAATGATAAAGCTCAACAAAGACTGGCTGCTATCGTAGAACATCATCTTAGAATATTGAGGTATAGAACAGAAACGTATAGATAAAATTTTAAAAGTTAAATCGAAAACTATAAGCAAGAGCTTTACAATAAAATGCGAAAAAAATTTGTGCAGAGAAGTTTTATTCTAAAACTCGTATTTTTACAGCAAACCGTCCTGAAGTACAAAATCCGTAGTATCAAACCTCTATAATATGGATGAATAAAAGTTCGAAGCTTTTCTATGTACAATTTAGGATCCTACAGCCGTATACGTGAACGTGTAAGTACGACCATAATAAGTGCCATCGCGTTTAGACGTGATTAAAATTTTAGCTAGGGTCAAAAAGATCTATAGTCAGAAAGGATAATAATTTTATATCATTTTACGTTCACATTCACGATTTAATACACACTACATATATAAATCAAAATTGATAAATAAAATTAGTTATAATATTAGAACGACACAGAGTAATTAGCCATCAATGTAGGCAAAATTTCGATTCCCATATATATACATTTATAATATTTTCTATATTTCATGATATTGTAATGTCTATCGCTATAATTTATAAATAATAAAACTCTACACACCAGCTTTTGTGGAATTAACGGGGTGCACGATAGTAATGTGCTTGATTGGATATTACACTGTTACGGTACGCAATAGATGTGACAAAGTACAAATTTTATTTTATACAAATAAATGTTACTTATTTACGAAAAGTCAAACATTGTTACTCTATTACAAAATGTGTATTAAAAATGATCAATTATATAATAAAGATAGGCTCATATTTTAAATTTTACATAGTAAAAAACATTTTGCATTCGTGTTAAAATTGGTCGTTGACAAGGTATCGTGTTCTTTACATATTCATGTGTTAATTTAACGTGGAGCACATGTTGTTTGAACATTTAGTATTAAATTGACACTCAATAATTATTAGTATTAAAGAAACACGATTCATGAATGGGAGGAGGGGGTTTAACATATAACATAAACATTACATAGCTAGAAAACGTAAATTCTAAGATAAATAAATTAATTAACGCAACATATTATGAATGTCAATATTATTCAAGAAATATACCTTCTCAGTTTATTTTAAAATTGTATCAGTCTTTTGTCTTCATTTTTTATTAGGTGTATAAATTTTCGGCCTTTTTTTTAGTAAGAATTAAGGTTTACTCACATAGAATGAAATTATGCTTCAGTCAGAAAACTAATCTCCATCAAAATCGACATATTTCGTCCATCTTTCAGTGAGCTGGCGGATCCCCATTCGATAAAAACACGGTGATTTTGATTCAATGAAATCTTTAACACAATTTTCAACTTCTTCGTATGTCTTAAAATGTGAATGTGCAAGGTGATGGTGAAAGGATCGAAATAAATAAAAATCTGTCGGGGTGCTAAATCTGGTGAATACGCCGGGTGTGGCAAAACTTCTCAGCCCAGCAAATTATGAGTGTCTTTAGTCGCTTTCGCCGTGTGAGGTCTTGCATCGTGCAGTAATATTACCGGTCTAGACCCTTTGCCAGTAAAAGGTCTTTTACGATCGATTTCATCACTCACACGTTGAAGTTGATGTTTGTAGCGTTCAGCAGTGACAGTTTCATTCGATTTAAGCAATTCAAAATATATCACACTCTTGAAGTCCCATCAAATGCACAAAAGAACTTTTTTGCCATGAATATTGGATTTCGCGATCGATGACGAAGGGTCACCTGGATTCACCCATGATTTTCGTCCTTTTGGGTTGTCGTAATACACCCACTTTTCATCTCCCGTCACTATTTTGTGTAGGAAGTCCTTCTTTTTAAATCGAGAAAGCAAAGACAAAGCCGTATCATAGCGTCTCGCTTTGTTGTCTATGGAAAGAACGTGCGAAATCCAACGGCTCTCTTTTTGAATTTTTCCCAACTTTCGCAACCTAGTAGAAATGGCTGGCTGAGGTACTTTTAATGCTGAAGCAAGTTCAGATTCGGATTGGCATGGGTTTTCTGCCAATAACTGCTCCAAATCATCATCTTCGAACTTCTTTGGTTGTCCAGGCTGTTCGTCATCTTCGAGATTAAAATTTCCATCCCGGAACTTGTGGAATCACTTTTTACACGTACTATAGGATATAGCATTCTCTCCTAATGCCAAACAAATCATTTCCTTCGCCTCGGAAGCATTTTTTTCAATTGAAACGCGAAAAATAAGCAGTGCCTAATATGTATTTTGTCGCACGACATCGTGTTACTTACTGTCACGGTCAATTTTTTGAGGTCATGTCAATTAAATTTCGAATTTTGTAGTTCCATTAGATTGGTATTATTCAGTACCAAACTTTGCGTGAATAAGTTTTCGCTTAAATAAGTGCTGCAGTTTATTAAATGTTGGGGGTTGAGAATTAATTTATACACCTAATACATAATATTCCTATTTCTCACATTTCCATGTTACATTTACATAAAAATATGAGTGGATCATTGGGTACCTAAAAATACGTTGAATTTAGTACAAATTTTCTTCTGCGTAGATTTGGGAAACACTTGATATGGCAAAACTAATATCTTACCTTTTTCCATATTTATCAATGAGCTTCAATATTTTTATATTCTGCTACATCGGAGGAATTGTCACAGAACAGGTAATATATTGAGAATTAAACCTAATATACTGAAACAAAAAGAATCATAAGTAACTGTATATGAATCTACATCTTCATTAAAATATCATTAAGATTATTATTAATCTTTGTGAATTTCTTCCCGCGCTGATTCCTAAAAGTCCCTCGAAAATTTATTATTTTTTAATACAAATCACGTTTTAATGTTTTCTTGATAATGTATTCAATATTTTACGAAAATAATAAAATGTAACGCTACATATTATGAAAAAATTTTTATTGAGTTATAACATTAAAATAAAATTGTCTCATTTTTAACAAATTTGAATATTTCTATTTTCCTTCATGTTATATTAATCTAAATCAAATTCTTACACAAAATTTTATTTTAAATTAGTGCAAACTTGTTGGAGAAATGGCATATATGACTGATTGGTATAACTTACATCACACAACTGCACGTGGTCTCATTTTGATTATTGCCCGATCGAATAACGTAGTTAAGATCACAGCGGGAAAATTATTCCATTTATCCATCGCTACTTTTGGTGATGTAAGTAATGCAGATATTCCATTCTTTCGTTTAATTAATACAAAATTAATTAATTGCATCATCATTAATAAATTGCATCTTGTACTTTTTGAATTTTAAATGATGATCACCTTATAAAAATTGCACTTCAATTAAATTATGTACAAAACATTCATACATATAATTTTATATTTGTGTATTTAATCAAAAATAAGTATGTTGTTGTTCCAGGTAATTAGAACATCGGTCGTATATTGCAATTTTTTGCGAACAATGACTATGTAAACGTGGTTATATGAAATATAAATTAAAAAAAAATATACAAATTATATATTTTATATAGAAAGTATTAGTATAACCTGAAAATAATATTTAACCCTTTTGTTGCATTGCAATTATAAATCACTGACCTCAAAAATATTTATATATAGAGATTTTCAGGAATCGTTTATTATCATTTTGCTTCCTGCGAGCCAGCATAAATTCTCTGTTAAAATTCTAATTTTGAGCTCATTCTCATAATATATTGTTGAAGCAAAATATTCATATTATTCATGTACATACATACAAATCTCTTAGGAAGAAACATAACAATATCAAATATGTACAATTACACAAGCAATTATGTGATTATATGTAAAACCAGTAAAGCATAGAAAAACTCCAAAAAGATATAGATTTCCTATATATTGTATGGGACATCTATGCACTCAACAAAGGCAAGTTAATAAATATAATAAGATCAATAATTATGTCAAAATTGACAGTATCAGTTATTAATATACTTTCACTGATACATACTACATACTATTTTACAATTTTTTTCATGATGTTTGAAAACTTGAACCATATTTCTAAATAGTTCTGATTAAAGTTCTTACAGAATCTGTAGTACTAAACCTCCACAATATGGCAATGAATAAAATTCAAAGTTTTTTTGCGTACAATTTAGAAATCTACCAATTATTGTACACTATTAAATTTATAGTATCAAATTTAATCTAACATAAGTTAGCTACTGCTCTTACTCAATCATATCGTTATTTTATACTAAAACAATGGTTATATTTGTCACTATATAGTGTTAAATTGACACGACATAGTGTCATATATAGCTATTGTTTTGATAAAAAAATTACGATATATTTAGTAGGAGCAGTAGCTAACTCATGTTAGGTTAAATTTGATTTTGGTGATATATGCTTAAATTCTAAGCAAAATCGTAAGGCTTGCAACATACTCCTGTAAAGCTTGTAAGAATTTTTAAGTGCTTATACCTTTATACGATATTTTTGCAGACAGCTTCTTACTAGCCATAAAATTTACAAGAAATCATAGATATTTGCGAATAATCATACGTCTTATGATACATACGCATAAAATTAGAATACTAGTCACAAGTTCTTACAAATTTTACGAGAACATGTTACGAATCTTACGGGTCTGCTTAGAATTGACCCAATAAGTATATAATAAGTATAAGATCTATAATAAAGATATACCTTTCTTTTGTTTTGTAGTTAAATAATTAATAAATTATATTTCTTTATACTTTATTAATTTTGAATTATAATCTTCTTATAAGAATTTTGGACTAAATTGAATTATGTTTAAAACATCCACATATTCAATTATATGCGTGTATATAATTTAAAATTTTTAATTTTAGTATTAACACTGTGTAGAAGCAACGTTTTTTCAGGTAATTAAATCTTCCATGGTATATTTAAATTTTGTTTCGAACAATAACTATGTGATACATGGTTAAGAAATACGCAAGATATATAATTTATAGAATAAATTAACATATCATGAATGTAAGATTTCATAAATAAAATAGATGATTATGTAAAAATTGAGATTGTGACAAATATATATCTTCTGACTACTTTCTTATTTAATTTTTACTGCATCTTCCATTTTTTTGTCTTTAAAGAATTTTTAAGTTGTCACACATCTAAAGATGGCTCAATCTCGTAGCCGAAACATATTATTTGAATATATGTAATGTGAATATATGTAATGCGGATTTTTTTTAATACATATAACTTTCTAATTATTTATTTTAAATTTGACTCTTATTGCCCTACTGTTAATATAACAACTTTATTTAACATATATATAAACTATATATTTTTTATTATTTTTCTTATGCTTATTATAATTTCAATATTTAAACTTACTAGTCTTCATTTTTACCGAAATTATATATTTATCCTTTTTTACAGTAAGAGAAGCACGACCAACATGTAATCGAATAAAAAAGAATATATCTAGTAATTAGTAGTAGTTACAGTGAATTTGTTCTCCTCGTGACACGCAACATTTTCTTTCTATAATTGGTACGTAAATTCGTGGCGAACAATTATTGATTGAACATGTAACCCTTTCAAAGCAGCTGTAATATCAGGCTATTCATCAAATATTTTTTTCAAACTGTATTTCACATTTAATTCTGGCACAATGTACTACCCATTCATGAGAGCACATTACGTACTTCCGTAAAGTGATCAATACTGAAAAAAGGCTGGGTGCTTCCTATCTGGTGATACAAATCAACACAAACATGATCCTTTTTTTTTATTCCATGATTAACAAAGACAGGACGCTTACTTGTGTGGCAGCAAGCGTTGGATTAGTTAAATATGCCAAGCAGTTTGGAACCGGATACACTGATTTTTCTTATGTATAATTACTGAGTATATCGTCATATAAGAAAAGAATAGAAATGTAGTAAAAAAATTAATACATAAAGTATTATGCGTAATGTCTTGCTTATTGAATTTAGGTTTAACTGGATATTACGACATTTAATATGCTCAAAATCATGAATAATAATAATAAGTATATTACTAACAAAGTACATTATAATATTTTTATGATCATATTATCTATGATAACATAATTATATTATTGTACTAGAAAAATAATTTTAATATTACAAAATTAAAATTAAAAGTATTTTTAATTTCTATATTTGGATATTCTAAATCAGTGCTTCTTTTGGCTTCTTCCGCAAATTTCAATTACGATTCGATTATGATTTTAATTATTTCCTTTTAATCAAATGAATTATATTGAATTCAAATCTATAAACAAAAAAGATTTTGATAAGAATTTTTCAAGTTATGTAAAAAACCATAAATAAAAGCTTATCAAAAAATGCGGAAAAAATTTTTGCGCTAAAGTCTTATTCTAAGCCTCGTATGTTTACAGCAAAATCTCTTGTTTCAAGTACAGACAATCTGTAGTATCAAACTTCCACAATATACAGATGAATAAAAGTTCAGATTTTTTTTACGTACAATATAGAACTTCACAGTCGTACATAATCGTAGGTATCAACTATAAGTATAAGTGCTAATGGTTTAGAAGCGATTAAAATTTTCGCTTGGAACTTGTCCAAAAGATCTTTAGCTGTCGAAGATTAATAAAGTTACTAAATTATGATTACATTCACATTCAAACTTAATATATACTTTGTACCGAAAGTTAACAGACAAAATTAATTGTAATGTTAGAATGGCACAGAGCTATTGTCCATCAAATTATTCAAAATTTGAAGCAAAATATTTTTCTAATTTTCGTACCCATGCATTAATATCTATATTTATAATATTTCCTATATTTTGCGATATTGTAACTTTTATCACACCCCTTATAAATAATAAAACTCTATTAATTTATTCTAATTTAATCAATATGCGGAAAAAAACGTGATTAAAATATATTATCGAACGTCTGTTAAATTGAAGCACTTCCAATGGCACTTCCACGAATTTTCTTTACAATGTTCATGACATGCGATATTCACTCAGACTTCGGGTAATAGAAACTCTCGATGAGCAGATATATCGACTGAACATACGCTCTTCTCAGAGTAAAGGTGCTTTGTATATATGGATTGATATTTTCCAAGTAATGAGTATCGACTAACCAGCCACAGACGCTCCGCATTTATTATTTTACAGAACTGAATATCTTCATTGGTTACACAAAACGCGTTACATAAAAAATTATCAGTCCATATGGAAACCCTTTATAAGACCGATCACGAAACTCTTCTGAAGATTTGCACAGGCGCTTTTTTATATTCTGGATGAGTTGTTCATTCGTAGCAATATACACTGTGTATTGTACTTTCGTGCAATAATCATGTCAAATTCCAAATGTGTGCCAGAAACCAAAAAATCATACCGACAGTTTACATTTTAATCGATTGGTTTCTCAAGCTAATCAGTGCGTGGCCACAAATAAATGTATCAAGTCCAATATGCAAAATCATGATATTACTGCAAATTTTCATTTGTTTAAGCATAATAGCAGTCCCAACGATATCGTGTATCTTGTATGCATTATTTGAGGCAGATAATATCCAGAAAAAACTGAGTACTACGGGATCATTGATCAACAGATTTATATCGATGCATTACTGAATGTTACTGATCGAAGCATAGACATTAAAAAAATTAATACGACATATGGAGACAGACTGGAGTCTCGTACAAAGCATCGACGAACGAATGCTGAAATATGCCAAGTTCGTCCGTTTCATTGTCATAACCTGTGGGATAATGAGGCTGGGCAGTTATCTACTGTTCGGTTTAGGACAATCGATAAAAACTGCTACCCTCACCACGATTAAAAGCTTCCTCACCACGACAAAATAGGTATATGTCGAGGTTCGTTTTTTGGGGTTCTTTATTTTTTTGTATTTAAAAATTTTGACCCCACCAACATGCGCTTTTATTCAACATGCGTCTCTCGACCAGGGAGGACAAATGTTCTCCGTTGACATGGACGGATTAATCGTAATCATTAATCTATGAATTGATTAAATTTTGCCCAACATTAGTACATATCAACTGTAAATACCACCACACACAAGATAATCGAGTTTAAAAGCGATTAAAATTTTCGCTCGGGTCCAAAAGATCCGTAGCTGCCGAATTAATCATTTTACGATTATATAAATTTTACGATGTATATAAATATTATATATGCACATTTAAACTTAATATACCTATACTTTAAATCAAAAGTTAACAAATAAATTAATTGCAATATTACAATGGCAAATGCAAATACACAATGCCATTGTAACATATTACAATTAAAAATTAATTTATTAACTTTTTATTCATTGCTCACCAAGTTATTTAAAATTTTAAACAATATATTTTTCTGATTTTCGTATATCCATTTATAACATTTTCAATATTTCGTTACATGTAATTTTTATCATCACTTATAAATAATAAAACTCTACTCACATATATTCTGACTTAATTAAGATGCAAAAAAAAAACGTGATTAAAATACAATACATTTTCGAATAAAAAGTCTGGTATGTTAAAGCACTTTCAAAGGCACTTCCACGAATCTTTCCTTACAATGTTCATAACACGCAATATTCACTCAGACTTCAAACAGCAGAAATTCTCAACGAGCAAATATATCGATTAAATATACGCCCCCTCTCAGAGCAAGGGTACTTTGTATATGAAATTTGTGTAACGAATATCGAGTAACCAATCAGAATCATTCCGCGTTTTCCGTACGGAATTGAACGTGCTCATTGGTTACGCGATACACATTACGAAGAAAATATCAGTCCATGTGGAAACCCTTTTTAATGTCAGACCGATCACTAAACTCTTCTGAAGTTTGGCGCAGGCGCTTCTTTATACTACGGTACAATGAGTTGTCCATCCTTGGCAGTATACTGTGTGCTCACGTGCAGTGATCATGTCAAATTCCAAACATGCGCCAGAAAGAGAAACACCGCAAAAACATATCGATTACTGTTTACAATTTAATCAATGGTTTCTCAAGCCAATCGGGGCGTGGCCAGAAATAAATGATCCGAGTCCAGGGTGCAAAATCATGATATTACTACAAATTTTCATTTGTACAAGCATAATAGCAGTTCCTACAGTAACGTGTATCTTGTATGTGTTACTTGAAACAGAGAATGTCCAGCAAAAACTGAGTACCATAGGACCACTGCTGAACAGATTTATGAGCTCGATGCATTACTGGGTGTTGCTAAAGCGCAGCGATGATATTCACAAACTAATACGACATATGGAGAAAGACTGGAGTCTCGTGCAAAGGATCGACGAACGTGAAGTGATGCTGCAACATGCCAAGTTCGGCCGTTTCGTTACTATAATCTGTGGAATAATGATGCAGGGCGGTTGTCTACTGTTCGGCTTAGGGCAATCGATGAGAACTGCTACCATCACCATCGGCAACGAAACTTTTACAACGCATCTGACGACGTGTCCGATTTACAGCAAAATCATCGATACAAGATTTACCCCTCTAAATGAAGTCGCCATAGTTCTGCAAAACGTGATAATATTAATAATAAGTTTCTGTACTGCCGGTGGCTGCAGTTTGGCTGCTGCCTTCGCGATACATGCTTGTGGTCAGTTGAATGTACTGTACATGTGGCTGCATGAACTAGTTGAAAATCAGGCGACAGAAAATAATAAAGCTCGACAAAAACTGACTGCTATCGTAGAACATCATTTAAGAATTTTGAGGTATTTCACAAGCAGACACTAGGAAAAAAAAAATAGATATCTTCTAATGCTCTATAAAAACTTTTAAATTATCAGTTAAATTAATAATTAATTATTTAAAAATAGAGGTTTGCATTAAAATTAGGATAAATTTATTTTCTTTTTCTTATGGATTACTAAAAGGGAGTTTGTTGTCAATTATATTCATGGAAAGATAAGTTTATTATATCGATGACTTATTTATAAAAAAATTGAACTGTGTTATATTTATACGTTTCAGTTTTATATCACAATTGGAAAGTATTATGCATAAAGCCGCTTTTGTGGAATTAACGGGATGCACGATAGCACTGTGCTTGCTTGGATATTACACTGTTACGGTACGCAATAGATGTGAGAAAATGCAAATTTTATTTTACACAAATAAATGTCACTTATTTACGGAGAGTTAAACATCGTTACTCTGTTACAAAATGTGTACTAAAAATGATAAATTGCATAATAAAAAGAAGCTCGTATTTTAAATTTTACATAGTAAAAAAACATTTTGTATTTGTATTAAAATCGGACGTTGACAAACTATTGTGTTGAATTTTTTACATACTCATGTGTTAATTTAACATAAATGGCATTATGTTGAGTAAATATTTTGTATTAAATGGACTCAACAATTATTAGTATTAAAGAAACACAATTCATGAATAGGTTAACATATAACATAAACATAACATAGCTTGAAAACGTCAATTCTAAGATAAATAAAATTATGCGTTAATGCAACATATTATGAATGTTAATATTATTCAAGAAATATATCTTCACAATTTGTTTTAAAATGGTATCGATGTATTTTTGTCTCCATTTTTTACATAATATTTGCATTACTTTCTCACACATCTGTGTTACATTTATATAAAAATTTGAGTGTATCGTTGGGCACCTAAAATATGTTGAATTTAGTACAAATTTTCTTTTGCGTAGATTTGGGAAGCACTTGATACAGCAAAAATAACATCTTACCTTTTTTCGTATTTATCAATGAGTTTCAATATTTTTATATACTGCTACATCGGAGAAATTGTCACAGAACAGGTATTACATCGAGATTTAAAATATACTGAAACAAAAAAATCTCGTTTTAATATTTTCTCAAGAATGTAGTCAATATTTTAAGAAAAGAGGAGAACGTAATAGTTCCTACATATTTTAATAAAAAATTTTTTTTATTAAATTATAATTTTTTAAATGAAATTGTCTCATTTGAACAAATTTAATTATTTCTATTTTCTTTCATGTAATATTAATCTAAATTATCAAATTCTTACTCATATAAAATTTTATGTTAAATTAGTGCAAACTTGTTGGAGAAATGGCATATATGACTGATTGGTATAACCTACATCACACAACTGCACGTGGTCTCATTCTGATTATTGCCCGATCGAATAACGTAGTTAAGATCACAGCGGGAAAAATTTTCCATTTATCCATTGCTACTTTTGGTGATGTAAGTAATGCAGGTATTCCTTCGTTTTATTAATAAAAAATTAATAAATTGTATCTTTCTTGTACTTTTTGATTTTCAAATGATAATGAACTTATAAGAACTGAACTTCAATCAAATTATGTACAAAACATTCATACATACAATTTTATATTCGTTTATATAATTTAAGACTTTCAAATTTTAATAAATCTATATACCTAAATTTGTAACTTATGGAATGTGATATATCATTTTTGGTTTTTAAAAAAATAAGTATGTTGTTGTTCCAGGTAATTAGAACATCGGTTGTATATTGCAATTTTTTGCGAACAATGACTATGTAAAAGTGATTATATGAAATATAAATTAAATAATATATGAATTATATATTTTATATAGAAAGTATTGGTATAGCCTAAAAATAATATTTAACCCTTTGCACTGAAATTAGAAATCACTGATCTCAAAAATATTAATATATTGAGATTTTCAGGAATCGTTTATTATTATTTTACTTCCCGCGAGCGAGCATAAATCTCTGTTAAAATTCTAACTTTGGGCTTATATTCTTACAATATATTGTTAAAGCAAAATATTCATGTTATTCAGTGTACATACAAGTCTCTCTTTCTCTCTCCCCTCTTCCTCTCTCTCTCTCTCTCTCTCTCTCTCTCTCTTTCTCTCTCTCTCTCTCTCTCCTCCCCTCTCTGTTTGGAGGAAACATAACGACAGGAAACATAATCAAATATATGTAATTACACAAGTAATTATGTGATGTGTAAAACAGGAAAACTCCAAAGAGGATAGATGTCCTATACATGTACTATATAGGACATCTTATACGCGCGTAGCCGAAGGCAAGTTAATAAAGAACATCGATGATTATATCAAAATTGACAGTATGAATCATTAATATACCTTCAATGACACATACTATATAATATTTTACAATTTTTTCATGATGTTATGAAAACTTGAACTATATTTTTAAATTGTTCTATTTAAAGTTCTTACAGAATCTGCAGTACTAAACCTCGACAATATGACGATGAATAAAGTTCGAAGTTTTTTTGCGTACAATTTAGAACCCTACTGTACATCGAAACTTTTTGGTGATGTAAGTGCCGGTTGGCATTTAGGCTGCGCGCGGGTTGGTGAAATAAGAGGAACCAAGCTGAAAATCGGCCGAAAAGTGCAAGTAAATCCCAGCACACTGATTTATTAAATAATTAGTAAATTACATATTCTACTTTATTAATTCTGAATAATAATCTTCTTATAAGAATTGAACTGAATTGAACTATGTGTTATGTTTAAAACATTCACACATTCAATTATATGGATGTGTACGACTTAAAATTTCAAATTTTTGTTATTGCATTGTGTAGAAGCAACGCTTTTTTTCAGGTAATTAAATCTTCTGTATATTTAAATTTTCTTCCGAACAATAGCTATGTAATAATGTGATACATGGTTAAAAAATATACAAGATATGTATTTTATAGAATAAATTAATATCTTGAAAGTAAGATTTCATAAATAAAATGAATGATTATGTAAAAATTGAGATTGTCGTGACAAATACATATACTATATAATTTTTTATTATTTGTTCATGCTTATTATTATAATTTCAATATTTAAAAGTACTAATTTCCATTTTTATCGAAATTATATATTTGTCCTTTTTTGCAGTATGAGAGGTATAACTGCATATAATCGAATATAGAAGAACATAATTGGTAGTTACATCACATTCATTTCTACGAGTTTATCTCGCGACTCATGACACGCGATATTCTCTTTCCATAACTAGTAGGTACTGTAAATTCGCGACAAACAATTATTGATCGGACATGTAACCCTTTGAAAACAGTCGTAATATCAGGTTGTTCAAACTTTTTCGAAGGTTTGCTCAGGTTCTACTTCACATTCAACTTTGCACAATACAACATTCGTGACAGCGCATTGCGTGCTTTTATAAAGTAATTATACTGAACATAGAGATTGGTAGGAAACGTTGAAGTGAATAAGCATGACAATTGCAGCTTACAATCGGACGTATTAAAATGATTCTCTCTCCTAAATTATGAAAACTGTGTAGTAACATTTACTAACTTATTTTACAAAAAGAACATTTCGTTATATAGTTATGTTTCGGTATTACATATTCGGTATATACGCATGGAAAGCAATATGTATAAAGTTTAAATAATAAATATTGCAGCATTTTTATATATAATATACTAACGTAATAAATTTTACATGTACTATATATTATACATATGTACAGGGTGTTTCCAAATTAAATGGCAAAACTTCGGGAGCGTGTAGAGGAGTAAAAAACTAAGAAAAAAAGTCCTATAGACATATGCTCCTTTTTGCTTTGTTTCGCAGGAAATCACGAAAAAAGAAAAAAATATATTTAATTTATTATTTTAATTATTTTATTTATAAACTTTTTAATGAAGATTTTGTTCGAAATGTGCACCTCTTGCAGCAATACAAGCATTGCATCTGTCAAACACGGCTCTTGTAGCAGCCAGGCCTTTAAAGCATTACCGTTGCAGAAACCGTATACAAAAACCATATCAGCATATTCACTATTAGAATACGTACGCGGCATATTGCAAAAGACAAAATTCATCTACTATTAAAGGCTTTCAAAGAGCGACTGACAAATTCATAACAGAAAGTGGAAAATGTAATCAAATATGTCGGTGCTAGATATGGCAAGAAATATAAACATTTTTTTTCGATTTCTCTGAAACGGAGCAAAAACGAGCATATGTCTATAGGACTTTTTTTCTTAGTTTTTTACTCCTCTACACGCTCCCGAAGTTTTGCGATTTAATTTGGAAACACCCTGTATAATAGCAGTAGATTATAACTTTTCTTCTTAGCTTTTTTTCATAATTATAATATGTTAAAATTATTTTTAAAAAAGTTCTTGAAATTACGGAATTAAAATTTAAAATATTTATTTATTTCACAAGAAAGTTAGCAATGAATTTGTATTTTCTAAAATTAGAGTGCAATTGTAAATTGTAATTTATATCATTAATGATATTAATGATTTTATGATTATATTTTATCATAAATATGATGGTACAAGAAGAAAAAGCCAATGTGAGCCAACACAAGTTATCCGTGAGTATGAATATGTATTATAATTAGATACAGACGAACGTTTCAACTCCGGTATTGGGTCCTCTTCAGTGAAATTGAATATGATGATAGAAATCCATAATATTGAAAATTTAAGTAATATTCGAATCGTCAGATCTCTCTATTGTCAATGTTTGAAATTTTCTAAATCGTCTGTTGTATTTTGCTGAATAAAACAAACCGTACATATAATTATACATATGTTAGAGATATTTCACTAAAATAATCGAGTAAAAAGAAAGTTAATATAGCTAAATCAAAGTTATGGTAAATCGAATTTAATAAAACTTACATGGATTCAAGATTAACGATAGTAAACGTCTGTTACAATTATGAAATTTATAAAAAATACATTAAATTTCATATACATGTACACAAATATACTTTTCAGTTATAAATACATTAAATTTAATGTAATGTCATGAAATTAAGTTCAAATTGTGTAAATTAAAAGTATATTAAATTTCAAGAAATTTTGAACCGTGTACCTATATAACTTAATTTGATTCCCATTGTTAAATGCACATTTGTAAGCAATCATTTCACAAGCACATTGTACTGTATTATAACACAATTGATCATTTAATTTGGGAACAAGTTTCATTTGTGTATCGATTAGAGAAAAGTTTTACGCTTTTCCTTTAGAACAAATCAATATAAGCGCACATATCACGTTATTCAAACTTCCTTTATTTTGAACGGATAAGATAGACAAACGGAATAGATGGAGAACAAAGATAGAATTATCACAAACAGATAAGTTCTTACGTCCGCTTTTTTAAGTAAAAATAGAGATAATTTACAACAAAGTTATTTCAATACAATAATAAAAAAGATGAACGAATTGCGTGACGATATAACCCAACAATCTGCTATTCTCACCGTCTATCTGGCAATGAATTCACTACCACTTCAATTTACTTTTGCTATCATTGCAAATATCGATTACTCAAGAGATGTGTGTATTAAACAAAAGTATAGTTAGTACACCGCGCACGCGTTACTTTCTGACTATTACCCCGTGTGCGTTTCGAGTCTCTTCCGCGCGATGATACTACTCAAGTACTCAATCGTGTCTGTACGCTCGAGAAGCGAACATGAAGAAGCTTCCACAGAACTCGCCGATCATATTTAATTACATAGAGAATATAGACTACAGTATACAGCCAATTCGTTGGCTGCTAAAGCCGATAAGTGTTTGGCCAGTGATGGATTCATCGATCACGGAGAAGATCTCATCAGTGGTGTTACTGATAGTATGCATTTTTTTAATCGTCAGCACATTAGTGCCTTGCGCATTGGCTATATTCCTGGACGAGACTAAGGATGTGGAGATGAAAATACGTGATTTTGGACCGCTCAGCAACTGGATGCTGGCGAGTCTCAAGTATACCTCGTTGCTAGTGCACGTCGGCGACATACGTCAATGTATCAAACATATCGAAACAGATTGGCGGGCCGTAACGAAGTTCGAAGAACAGGAAGTGATGCTGAGAAATGCCAGGATCGGTCGTTTCATCGCGATATTTTCCGCGGTATTTATACACAGCGGCGTATTCTCGTACAGTATTTTCCGAGGAATGACGTTAAGCGAGTCCGTTGTCGAGGGCGATAACACATCGGAACGTTCGCTGCCTTTTGCTTTCTATAATAAGATTCTGGACACTACGACGAGTCCAATGTACGAGATAGTGTTTACAATACAGTGTTTATCCACGTTCGTTGTGAATTCTGTAACAGTAAGCGCTTGTTGCCTCACCTCCGTCTTCGTGCTGCACGCCTGCGGTCAGTTAAAAATTCTGATGTTCTTGCTGGATAATTTAATCGATGAAAGAAACGAAAAGACAGACTCTTCGCAGCAAAAATTCGCCATCATCGTTGAGCATCATTTAAAAGTACTCAGGTAAAAATGATAAATTTTCTATATATGATAGATAACAAATATTTTTTTTTGTCTTCATTTTAATTCTGTGTTAAATGTTGTGTGAATGAGACATTGATCTATTACTGAATAAATATACGTTGAGATATCTAAGATAACATTAATCTATGTATGCATAAGAAATGGACGTTATTTGGTATATTATACATATATACATATATTATTCCTAAATATGTATTTCTAGCTTCGTATCTCATATAGAGAAAATTACGAATGTAGTTTGTCTTGTGGAAGTAGGAGGGTGCACGCTGCACATGTGTCTGTTGGGTTATTATTGTATATTGGTACGCGTATTGTGAAATTTGTTTGCTGATCATTGATTATTCGAACGAATTAGAAAATCTTTTTTAGGATTGGAACCAAAACGAAAAAGAAGGTATAGTGGCATATGGTATAATATTGATCTCGGTTACTTTCAACATCTTTATATTTTGTTACATCGGAGAGATTCTTTCAGAGCAGGTAACAATGCCTGTTGAAAATATCCGTAATTTTATGCATAATTTGCGATCAATAAGAAATTAAACGATATATTAATAATTAATTTCCTGTGTGAGTTTTATCAAAACGCGATATTGCCACGAGCGTATTGTCCGATTTATAACAGTGTGGTCAAGTTGGTGAAATTGCCTACATGACAAATTGGTATTTGTTACCCGGAAATACAGCCCTCGATCTCGTTTTGATCATTTTAAGATCCAGCATTGTAGTCAAAATCACTGCTGGAAAGATGATTGAGCTTTCTCTTTCAACATTCGGTAATGTAAGTATACAAAATGTATTTTTCAAATTATAGACGTGTAGCTTACAGAAATACATAGTATTTTAGATACGCGAATTTTATATGTACATTATTAAAAATAAAATGTTAATTTTAAAGGCATATAGTCAACTTTCTGAGACATGCAAAAATGTTAAAATTAACATTTCTTTTTGTACAAAATTTAATTGTAATATTTTTGCATGTCTCAGAAAGTCCACTAAACGTGTTTAATTTAAAATTAACATTTTATTTTTAACAGTATAGTGTCTGATAATTATTGAAACAATACTTGTGGGTAGATAGAGCGGACTAAACTAAAAAAAAATCGTCCTATACTAATTTTGATTCAGTTTAATCAATATACATTTCTACATATCTATCTACAAGCATTATATCAATAATTATCAGACATTCAATAATTATCAGACATGATTAATTAATAATATATATATACATATATAATTATAGCTTGTAAAAATAATTAGAAAATTGTTTAGCTATAATCATTAAAAATTATACTTTTTATAATAAAAGTCACAGTGACAGGATCATTAATAACTATTTCAGGTAATTAAATCCGCGTTAGCTTATTTAAATATACTTCGTACCCTCATTACGTAAATGTCATTACGTAAATAACTTTTTATACATACAATAGATTGTAAACAATGAATATAGCGTGTAATTGAATAAATAAATAACAATATTGTTGTGAGAATATTTTGCATGTCATATTTTTAAGTAAAATTTGGTTTTACTTTATTTGTATCTTTAAATTTGCTATATGTATTCTAATATACACAATATCATTAATCTCCTTAATAAAATTATTGATCTTACTGCAGACGTGATGTAAATGCGCGCTTAAAACTGTCCAGTATACGCAAAACTTCAGACCTAAATATCGATTACGTGCTGTTTCTACCTGTTGCCGCAGCGGCTGCACATTATCACAATAATACACGACAATACATTGCAAGGATCACTTGTCGTATCATGTATTGTTCAATGTCTGCGCACGCGCTGATCATTACTACTGCGTGCGCCACAGCGAAGAGATAGCTTCAGTAAGTTGGCTACCTTCGTCAGAAAATCATGGGGGATGATCTCGCAGATAATTCTAGCGTCTCTCCGTACTTAGTCGATAAATACAACGAATATAGTATCCAGATAATACGTTGGATTCTCAAGGCAATTAGTGTATGGCCGCGTTCCGCCGACGCCTCACTTGTCGAAAAGATCCGTTCCGATTTCGCGATATTTATATGCTACTTCCTGATAATTACCACCATGGTACCTAACGGTTTGAGTATGTTCGTCGATTCGCAGATGTCCTACGAGACTAGATTACAAAGTTTCGGTCCGCTCACCTTTTGGTTCATAGCGATGGTAAATTATTCCTGCCTCCTGATGCACGTTAACGATATACACGATTGTGTGGAACACGTGAAAATGGACTGGCTGATCATCAGGAGATTCGAGGATCAGAAAGTGATGCTAAAGAGCGCAAAGTTAGGTCGATTCATCGCTGGTTTCTGCGCTGTATTCATGCACTGCGGTGTGTTCTCGTACAATGTCGTCCAAGGTCTCTCCAAAAGTATCCTACATATAGAAAATAGCAGTATAGTAGTTCGCGGGTTACCCTATCCCTTCTACAACAAGATCCTAAACGTGCACTTTAGTCCGGCATACGAGTTCGTGTTCTTTCTACAGTGCCTTTCATCCTTCGTCGTCAACTGTGTTACGGTCGCCACATGCGGCTTGACAGCGGTTTTCGTGATGCATGCATGTGGCCAAATGAAAATCATGATATCCTGGCTTGAAAATTTTATTAACGACAAAAAAGAGGAAAGGAGGACTTCTCTAAGGCAAAAATTTACAATCATCGTGAATCATCATTTAAGAATCTTGAGGTAAGCTATTTTCTTTAACAGTATGGCTCTTTCAATATTTTTTAATTTGCGCTATCATCAAATCTAATCCAATACAATTAAATAATAGTGCAATTAGTAGTTAATGTCAGCAAATTTTTTTAATGCAAATGTTACTTAATTCATAATATGTTTTCAATTTATATTTTATTTTTTAATGCAAAAGTTATATAATAAATGTCATATACTTAATAAAATTAAAATTGCTGGAAAATAATTATGATCGATCGTGATCTCTATATTTGCAGTTTTGTATCTCGTACAGAAAAGATTATGAATGTAATATGCCTTGTGGAATTAATTGGATGTACTATGCATATATGTCTCTTAGGATATTATTGCATTATGGTATGGAAATTCTTTCGGAATAGAGGGGAAGCTCGGGTAGCCTCGGACGGCGGGTATCCCTGGACACTCGAATTTTTCAGCGAATTTCTAAAAACAAAGCGTCATGTCGAAACTATGGGTCTAAAACGAGTTTCGACGTGATGCTTTGTTTTTATTTTAGAAATTCGCTGAAAAATTTGAGTGTCCGGGGATACCCGCCGATCGAAGCTACCCGAACTTCCCCTACGTATGTTTTGTATTATTTCGTTCAACTATTCGTATTTTTATCGCTTGACTATACGTCAGACTTAATGTCTCTTTTAGGATTTTATTGATGGCAACCACCAAAGTATCTTGTCACATTCGATGGTATTATCTTCAATTACTTTTAATATTTTTATATTTTGTTACATCGGAGAGATACTTTCTGAACAGGTAACATTTAACAAACTTAAAAATTTAACAGTAAGAAACTGTACACTCTAATTTAAAAAATTGCGACGATACTTTCTAAATTCTATAGAGTGGAATCTCACTTTAAAGAATGAAAATGGAGCGCCTTGAATCTTTAAGAGAGCTCTCTTTCACTCTTTAGAGCGAAATTCATTCTAAAATTCTAAAAAATTCATTCTTTTAAAGAATATAATATATATTCGCAAGATTGAGATTTATTTATGTATTGGGGAATTATTAAGATGCAATATCGCTAGTTTCTTTAATCGAATTATAACAGGTATACAAAACGGCCTTTAGGGCGAACAGATCGGTAAATCTGCCTATATGACAAACTGGTACCTCTTACCTGGAAAAACTGCCCAGGGGTTCATTCTGATAATTTTAAGATCCAACGCTGTACTCAAGATAACTGCCGGAAAGATTGTTCAGCTCTCATTTTCCACTTTCGGTGATGTGAGTATGCAAAAATACATTATACAATTTATGCATATATGTAAAATATATGCAACTTACATACATTTGAATAAAGAATAGTATGGTTTTTGTATTATTGAAATTTTATCTGTAACATTTGTGTATTATAGTTGTATAAATATTTCTATAAAAAATAATCAATTTTTGAACAAAGAAGAGTAATTTCAAATTGCTTTAGGTAATTAAATCTGCATTAGCATATTTAAATATACTTCGGACTGTACTGCTTACGTAAATAATTATACAACTTTGGCATGAAAAAATAACAATACGCAAAATAGGCAGTCATTATAAAATAAATATAGATATTTAATAAAAACTTTATATAATATTTGTTTATGTTAAATAAGTACCCATTGTCACAACTATAAATTAACAAAATATACTTCTTGTTTATTAAAAATTTACTTAAAAATATGTGATATAAATTTTAATTGTAGTTAATTATAAATTTTTTAAGATTAAAAATGCAATGTATATATTCCCACTAAAAATAATCAGTCGAATCGACGTTGATCAATGTCGATGGCATTAATTCATCGACGTCAATTCTATCTATCATTAGCTGGGATGTGGGGTGCGCGCGCGCGCGCGCACACACACACACACACACACAAATCTCACTTTACAAATTTTGAAGACATTGGCAATATGTTCCAAGTAATTACTTTATATGTATATTTATATTCATTTTGTGTATATAAAAGTACACTTATTGAAATAAATTATTTATTCAATATTATCACTGTATTTTCATACACGTTGCATTATAATAATAGTCTATAATAATTTCAAGAAATATTTTATTCATCTTTCAGAAATTTATATTTCAAAAATTTGCTCTTACACCCCACTCTTTTTAAAGATACACTTATTTCCCATTCGAAATAACCATATGCGAAATGAAATACACGTAGGAGATCATCCACCGACTATGTTAGAAAATATAAAGTAGGAAACATGTTCCCAGTATATTACGTATGCCCCTTCGATAAATAATGGTTAGGACCCTTTTTCCCTGTAAAACTTATTTCCTTGTCTGCATCCCCGCAAAAGGATTTGCACGCAGCACGCAATAAAATTCCAGGAACTATAACCCATTGCCGTCTCACTAATAATGAAACGGCCAGCAGGTAGAAAGGGATAGGAAGGAATCAATTGCGTTCACGCACGAACGTTTATGGACAGAAGACGCACATGCGCATATCGAACTGGCTGACGATCAGTTCACTGACGTTCAGTCAGTTGCGTGCATCGTCGCGATTTAGTCATTATCATGCCTAATTATTCAAAGTCAAAGTCTATCGAGTCCATAACGGACGGCTGGAATTATAGCATTCAGATGAACCGTTGGTTTTTGAAGCCGATTGGCGTATGGCCGTTGACTCTGTGCGAGACCACAGTGGAGAAAATTGGTTGCATGATCCTGACGGTGGTCAGTTGTTTATTGATATGTTTCCTGCTCATTCCATGCACTCTCTGCACTATCCTAGTAAATACTGATCTCGACACTAAGATCAGAATGATCGGTCCGGTCAGTTTTTTGCTAATGGCCGCGGTAAAGCAGTACATCCTTATTACCCGCAGCAAGAATATCGACGAGTGCATTCGGCACATTCGCGCAGATTGGAGCCGTGTCGCGTTGGATCATGAGAAAGATCGAAAAATAATGGTGAACAACGCTAAGTTCGGCAGGTGGCTCTCCTCCATCAGCGCGATCTTCATGTATTCCGCAGGTATATTCTTCACCACGGTGATGCCAATTTGTGCAAGGAGAACAGAGATTATTGACAACGAGACAGTGAGATCGCTCTCCTTTCCAATTTATCGTGGTCTCTTCGATCCACGCACTACGCCATCCTTCGAAATCGCGCAATTCACGCAAGCTCTAGCTGGTTACGTCATTTACACAATCACTATCAGCGTGTGCAGTCTGACAGCAGTATTTGTCATGCATGCCTGCGGTCAATTTAGGATACTCATGCTGAAGATGGAGGACCTCGCGGACGGAAAAGAGAGAAAGAGTGCGAATAGTATGCACGAGGGAAGGCTCGGTGACATTGTGAAACATCATATTAGGATACTCAGGTAACATTGCTACATGAAGATGATTGTATCCACAGAAGAATGAAATTATTTGCAATTTTTGAAAATTTTTCTTACAAAATATAAGAAATCTAACATTATTTATGATAAACGATTAATAAAATATTATGAAAATATCATGAAAAATTTTATAATTAGAGATAAATTTGGCGTTAGCAATCCTGATAATTACCTTATCGAATGAACGTATATCGAAAAGTTAATATATTATTATATAAATCTATTATGTAAATAGATTTCAGCTTTTTTTTTAATTTTAATCGCGTAACTTTCAGTTTTATCGCTCGCACCGAGAAACTTTTAAACGAAATTTGTCTTGTGGATGTAGTAGGATGTACGCTCAACATATGTTTTCTAGGATTCAATATGATGACGGTACGAAACATTTACGAATTTCTACTTCATATTTTAAGTAAGTTAACAATATAGTACAATTATGTTTCATGCTCATAACGTTTTGATGTTAGTCTTTTAGGAATGGGAACATCGTGAAACATTAGGAACGATGACGTTCTGTTCATTGCTTATATCTTTCACGTTCAATATATTTATTCTTTGCTATATTGGTGAACTCCTCGCTGAACAGGTACTTAAATTGTAATGACAGTCTTTACTACAATTAGGAGAGAGTCTCCGAATGCGTACTGGTCGCCTAAATCGTACCTCATCAATATTTTATATTATTACTTAACATAGGTAACATTTAGTAACAATAATATAAAATAAATGAAAAATGAGTAATATAGACAAAAATATAATAGTCTACATCGTGTTTTATGGATATTAGTGGCGTTTTAAAAAATTAGGTACACTGTCCCTGTATTCTGTAACTCGTTATGCAGTCATTATGAATTCATAACGACAATCGCGCAGCTTTTTTACTATATAAAATATCTGCGCAACTGTCGTTATGACCATATAATGATTGCATAACGAATTACAGAATTCCGCTGCTGATATTAATTTTTAATCAATTTATGTAGCTGAGATAACAACGCAATCATCCAATTTTATTATAAATTTTTGTATTTTTATAAAAGAAGATTTATTGTGGAATATTTTACATTAATTGTATAAACATATTTGCAACCATTATAAAAATTAAACCGACATTTTTACAAAACTCATCAAGTTTTCTAAATTGTACCATTACATGATAACATTAATAATTGACAATAATAAAACTAATATCAATACAAATTAATATCAATACAATTAATATCAAATGCAAAAATATATTTGAGCCAATTTTATTTTGACGTTATTTGTCTTTTCATTATTCTTATTGAACATTTATTATTATTAAATACTTGACTTTCTTCAAAAAATTAAACATTAATTAATTATTAGATATTAGTTAATGATTAATTTTATTAATCTTATACTCTCAATTATTTTCATTCATAAATTCAATACTTTCAAAGGAAATACAATTTAAAAAAAGACCTATAGGAACGATTTAGGCGATCAGTTGCCTAAATCGTACCTTTTGCAACACGTTACAAAAAGACTTATAACAAATTAATTTGTTAATGGTGAAAATTTAAATATATAACAATGAGTCCGAAACCTTTCTGATGAAAATAAAAATCAGAGCGCAAGTATGTCGTCGAATGTAATAGGAGAGTAACAGAAGCGTAAACAAAACTTCTAGGAGGCGAAAATTGAAACATCAAAATGTAAAAGAAGTGTAAATGCTTCTTTTACATTTTATTGTATCAATTTTCGTCTTTTAAAAGTTTCGTTTATGCTTCTGTTACTCTGCCATTACATCTGATTTACGCTCCGATTTTTATTTTCATGAGGGCTTAAGCTACAATTTCTAATGTTCATTTACGTACAAAACAGATCAAATAGGAAATATAATAAAAAACAGGTTAAGTGATACGCATTCGGCAACTCTTTCCTACGTTGTATATTTACATCAATTCATATTTGAAATGTACTTAGAATAACAACAAGAAAAATTAATAGAAAGGATTTCGTTATTTTTCTATTGAAACTCGTGTTAAACTTACAATAATTTTACATAAAAAATATAAATTTTTTACAAGAACTTTGTAACGTAAATGATTAAGTTATTAAACGTGTTATAAGAATTGTTATCTATATACGACAAAATTGTT